ATGATAGAGCCTTTTGTATAAAACATGAATGCCCGAAAAAATTGAGAGGCTCACACCACACAATATTTTGGAGGGAAAAAAGAAAAACAAAGTTCGAAGAGCTTTGCCAGTATTGGGGGGCACAGGTGGTAAAAGAAATGGAGCAAGGAGGCTAGCAAATGTGCCCACTGCCCTACACTGGATTTTACCACAGATCTTGTTCCCAACACTTGACAGTAGCTGCACATAAGAGCCGACCATACCTTTGAATATGGCACATCCTGGTAATCCTTTTGTGGAACACTGGGGTACAGGTTGCCCCACCAGGTTATATCTTTCTAGGAGTCGTGATATGCTGTCTCTTTACTCAAAGCATTTGGCATCATAATATATCGACAAGTATATATGGCCCCAAGAATGCACATACATTGAACTGATGCCGGCATCCCTTTTTATCGAAAGGCTAAATCATTACTGACATATTATCATCACAATAAATAAACTGATTACAGCTTCTTATACTCGGCAGAAAAAAGGAGTACTTTAGTTTAGTGGCTGAGCTGTTAAGTTGGAATTGGATTGCTTTGGCAAAATTTGGTTATAAGGACAAAATATTAATATGTGCCAGGAAATCAAATGACAGTAGAATAGGAAATCAAATTCAAGTCACTTACCTTTCAACAAATAAAGGCCTTGTGTAAACAAGAGAGGCAAGTCAAAACAGAATATAAATCAATAGAATACTGGCTCTGGCTGGTAACCAGAAGGTAACTGAAAGGTATTGACTGTCTGATGGATTTCTAGTTAAATATTATGTGTTTGAAAATGGTAAGACATAGTTCCTGCTCCGTTTCCAGCTATTTTCAAACGACACAGGCTTGAAATTGACATTACTAATCAGAGTGTTTTGTCAAGTAATGGTTGTTAACTGGTACAACTACGGTCCTATGTATCGTGAAAGTGTAGCATGCCATAAGTGTTAATTTGAAATAAGGAACACCGGTCAAACCCCGGCTGACCTAGTAGCTTGTAAAATGCAGTCAATAGCAATTAAACTATTAAAAGTTGCATGTCTAAGTATAATTGCAACGTCTAATTGTAATCCTACACGATTATTACAGCCAACTAATATGCAATACCATCTTACATGATGAACAGTTTTTTTTTTAAAAAAACTTGCAAAAGCCTTTTCCTTCCTAAGTTCCAATTAGAATACTGTTCAAATATGGTTATCTTGATACCATACAGAGCCAGGATTTTCTGTTCATGCAATAAACTAACATTCCAATTAGGTTAACTGTGGTATGAAGAACCCTACAAATAAACATGTAACATGAGCTCACCTCAGCTGTGATACAGAGAGCAAATTCTCAAAAATGTTCTGGCAGCATATGCCACAAAAATTCCCTTCCCTAACCAGGTTAACACCTCCCATGCCCCACACACACACACACACACAAAAGGACAATAATGTTTACTTGGGCTGATCCAATTTGTATTTGGGCTTGCTACTACATGGATGATGGATGAGGCATGGGTGATGAGGACAACATACAAAAACAGGTAACAGAGTGCTCAGCGTATATTTCAAAGATGTAATTAAACATCAGTGGAAATTGACCGCTTCAGGTTCCTATAGCAGCAAAGTAGGCACAAACCACACTTTTTTTATTTCAGGGGACCATCAAGTTTGCTCCTTGGAGAAAAGTTTGGAAATGTTGGGCTCCTCTAAAATGTTTTTTTTTGTTTGCTCTCAACAACAGATGCTGGACTGTGGATCGCCTTGCCAAAAGAGGCCTCCCTCACCTGGCAGCTTGCCCCTTCTGCGACCAGGCCGAAGAAAATATTCAACACATCCTCCTCACCTCATGTGAGTTTGCAAGGCAGGTCTGGACCTTGATCTTCCAGAAATTAAAATTTTAACAGTAATGGCTCCAGAATCTACTAGTCGCTTCTGTGGCTGGTGGTGTCATACTTTAAGAAGTGTTCCAAAGGAGATGCGCAAAGGACTTAATTCCCTGATAATCCTTGTTGTTTGGGAGCTCTGGAAGCACAGGAACGCTTGTGCTTTTTAGGGAGCTCGACCAGATGTTCAGACCCTCTTATACAATGTGGCTGAGGAGGGCAGTTTGTGGTGCATGGCTAGTGCTATAAGGGCCTCCAGGGGCTCCTCATAAAGTCGCTCTCCCCTGACCTTTAGAGTCTAGGTAGGTTGTGAAGGCCTTGTTCAAAGGCTTGTAAGGCAGGATGTGTGTTGGCCTGTTGGGTTTTTGTAGGAGGAGACCTCTTGACGCCTCCCCCATTTTCCGTACAGTTTGTACTGACTACATCTCATTCTTAATGAAATAGCATACGATTCTCCTACGTTGTTCAAGAAAAAAATCATATGGAGGAAAGAAGAACAAAAGCCAAGAAGAGAATGCTCCAACCAATCAGATATACGTTTTTTTGGAATGTACAAAAAAGTTAATAGCTGTGTGAACCAAGAAAATAATACAAACTCATAATCAAGTGAATCTGTTACGGGATTGGGCCTGTGCGGCAGGAAATGGCCAGGTGGCAGCAGACCAACAGCGCATGCACAAGAGAAGCAGCATGGCAGCACACAACGAGTTATGCAATTAGTTTGTTAGCCTTCTCTTTAGTTATAGTTATCTAGCAGATCCATTCGTTACATCTATCTGTTAGATGCTAGTGCCTATTAAAAGTTGACCTGTACGGCTGTACCTTGTAATGGAAAAGCAAGAAGAAACCCTAAAGGAAGTCAGAGCCTCCAGAGATACGGCAACTAGCCTTCCTGCTATCTCATCTATTCCTACTTAATCCAGAATTCCAGATTTGAATCAGTAAGGGCTAAGGAAGATGAAACTGCATGATCAAGTACTCCATGACTAATGGTTTCCATGTATTGGGATTTTCAAGAGTTTCAAAAACATGAACCATATTAACATGCTGTCTAGAATATTGACAAAAAAAGTGCCAAAAAGCAAAAACAAGAGCAGCACTACAGAGAAATTCTGATGAAAAATAAATAAATATGTGCGCTCACATGGTAATGGAAATAGAAAGTTCAACTAATACTATTTAAACAGTAAATTAAATATCCATGGACTTTGAAAACATTTGTTTTATTGATTAGCCAGATAAACATTTCATTTGTCCAACCCAGATGCTATTACATCTTCAGGAATGCATTGGGAAGCATTCCAGAACTTGATAGAACAAAGCATGTAAAGTAAATGATAAATCAGATGTAGTACTATCACTGGTGAGAGAATAAAATTTTCCTCAGCTACTGCAGCATTTGAAAGAAATGGAATCATGATAGAACAAATGACCCACTGAAAACATAAATATACTGGAAACAAACTGGAAACGGCCTGCCTAGGATGCTCATGAAAATAGCATCATTTGAGTTTGTAACATTAATGTGGTAGATGCAAGGATATTAAATTATATAGGGAAAGCAGATATGGGAAATAAAAGGAAAGCTTGTGTAGCAATTAAAAAAAAAAAAAAAAGAGGATCGACAGGATGGAGAGACACAGTTAGGAGGTGAAGACAGGGAGTAGCCCGCAATTACAAAAGTTCTAAATCATCAAACTAGAGGCAATTTATAGTCATGGAAGTATTAAAGGTTAACTATATTCCTATTTGGTTCTTATTTGGGGTGACCAAATATAATATCATAGCAACTATGTGCAGCGGCGGACCCAGAATTTGAACCAAGGGTAGTGCCTAATAATAAAATATTTCTCATTCAAAATGTGGTATAATCCAAGAAATAACTAAACCTAGTGGAGACTAAGCATAAGCTAGCACCAGTCGAGTGGATAGTCTGGAGACTGGAATACTTAAGGATGTTGGACATTTTTAGTTTGGACCTTCTAAAACTAACTACTACAAATAATTTTGGTCAAAATCTGGGGTAGACCTGGGCCTATATGGCCTAAGGCTGGGTCCGCCCATGACTGTGTGTGTTTAATGGGACTGCACCTTAGCGCGCAACTCGTCCTCTGACAGATTTTGGAGGAAGGGCACCTATGGTGTTTAGCAGGAGCCAGGGATGAGGTGACAGCTAGTTGCCTTGGAGTAATGCGATTTTTTCATGAAAATTTTGGTCTGTTCTGCCTCCATGCAAAAAATTCAAGGTTAAGGCTGCCTGGGTACACCCTATCAGCACTGAGTACACCATATAATCATATCAAGTATTTTCCATCTAGTTGTGTCATATACTCATATTGCATTAATTATCTTCAGACAGAAAGTGCATGTTCAGGTTGCGAATCAAGAGAGCAACAAGACAAACGAAGCACCTATCAAGTATCAACCAAGTAGGCAAGTACCACGCCTCAGGATCCCACAGTACAATAGTACATATAGTAAAGCTGGCAGGATCCCACCAAGCAGCCACATATACATTTCATCAGATGAAATTTGCATGAGAAGACCGTGCAAGTGCATCCTGAATTATGTGCTTGTTTGAGTCGCTCAAGATATTTCATAAGGGATACCAAACTTACAAAAAGACTAGAAGAGGATGTCCTTAAGGGGCTCAAGAGCAAAGTGATACACAATCCACACGGAGAAGAAAACAGCAAGTCAGCAACAACCAAATCATGCTACAAATACAATGGCATGATGGCTTCTGCAGCTATTTGACTTATTTTTATAATTAAATGTCAACTAATTATATTCAAATGTAATTCAGCTGTGAATCCACAACATCATAATCAACAGTATAGATATCACAAGCATCCATTCAAGCGTATTTCAGAAATCAAACTGAATAAGTGAGGTAATAGCAATACAGTCACATCTAGGGTAGAGTACTTTTACAGCATAATGACCAAAGCACGGAGAACACAAAGTTCAAGCATGAAAGGAGTAATGATGCAAAACTACAATACTTTTAGAGAGGTGATAAAACTACAATGCTTACAACTCAATAAAAGTATTATGTGATTAGATACATACAACAGCAGCAGTTTGTCACTCCTCAGATGTTCAGCTTGCACTATTCAATAGTCTGTCTTACTAGGCACAAGTTGATATGCTCTGGCCAGTTTCCCTTCACCGGAGTCCATAGGTCTCCAGGACCAAGCTGCACCGTTATTCCTCAGCTCGGTCCTCAACCTCAGCACCAGCATGACCAAAGCCACAAACAACCCAGCAAAGATGAAACCACAGAGCAGGGAGCGGGCAAATTCTCCAATCCCCTTACCCACCACATACTCCATGTCTAGATCAATTGGGAAGGCTCCATCCATACCTCCACTGGTCTTGTTCATCCTCATTATCTCCAGTGCATTAAGGATGCCACTTACTTCATCAGATAGACTCTTCTTCGAGCCACCAATCGCCAATTTCAGTATCCCTTCATCCTTCACATCGACAACAAAGTCAATGTAATAAGGATAGGCCAAGAATCCGGTGACACTGGAGAGATCAAAATCCTTGACAGCAAGATCACCATTGACGTAGATATTGAAGTAGAGCTCATACAGCGCCTTACTGGCAATGTCACAGAAGTGCATACGCACAAGGTACCGGCTGCCAACAGGCACAGGGAAACCCCAAGTCACATTGGTCCCTGGCTTCACCGATCTCGCAGAGTTGTAGACATTGTCGGGAGCCACCTCCCTGGTCATCTGCCTGCTACCCTTGGGATAAGCAATCCGGCCGCTGAATGACCACACCCTGTAGTTGGCCGAGTCGGTGTCGACGAGGAATTTCTCATCGTTTACCCATGTCCGCCACAGTGTGCCATTGAATGGCGTGACCTTGCGCCCGGCGACGTTGATCCTGTAGAGAGTCTCAAACACCTGAGACGACAGCCCGTGGATCTGAGCGGCGCCGCCGGACGTGACAAGGGTGCCGATGTCGCCGACGAGCTCCTCGGGCGCAGAGACGAGCTCGATGGCGTTGACGAAGGCGGTGGAGCCCGAGTCAGGGACGAAGGTGAGGACGAGGACGTCGGAGTCCACGGGGAGGATGAACTCCTTCACGACGGGGGACGAGACCGTGAAGTTGTGGAGGAGAAGCAGCCCCGCGGCGCCGACGTGGAAGCGGGACGCGGCGAGGGCGGGGGCGAAGGGGTAGAAGTGGAGGCGGAGGATGTGGTGCCCGCGGCGGCGGACGGAGAGGTCGTAGGACGCGCGGCAGGAGAAGACCCGCGCGGAGGCGTGGAGCGGGGACGGCGGCGGCGGGGAGCCGGGCGGCGCCGCGGAGGAGAGGGACGGGGAGGAGGACCGGAGGCGGGTGGACGCGCAGCCGGAGTCCGGCACGAAGCGGCGGCCGTCGGGGAGGACGGCGGGCGCCGCCGCGCCGCACGCGAGGAGGTGGTTGTCCGCCGGGGCGAACCGCGCGGCGGCGGCGGCGGAGCAGAAGGCGGCGATGAGGATGAGGACGAGGGCGAGGCGGCGCGAGGTTGGTGGGGCGGCCATGGCGGTGGGGGGACGGGGAGGTGGTGGTGGTGGTGGATTTGGGTGGCGATTTGTTGCGCTGTGGGCGGGGGAGAGCGCCGAAATGGCGTTGGATTAATTGGGGGGCAGCCTGGAGATCGGCGGGCACGGCCGGAGTGGAGGAATCAATTCAGCGCGTCGAGCTGGGGGAGACGACTCGCTCGGGTGGCGTGCGGTGGTTTGATTTGGCTTGGTCAATCTGGGACGCGTCGGCCAGTGTGGTGTGTGGGCGCGTTATCTGTTAGGCCATAAGGTTTTACTCGTGGGCGTCCAGGTTTGTGATGGGCTAGACCAAAAGTACTATATACACAAGATTCGGCCCAAACACTTCAATGATATATCTGTTAATTTATTTTTGTTGGTCCTGTTCGGCCGGCTGAAAAAACGATTGATGCTGATGCTGATACTGATTTGTTACGAGAGAAAAATACTGTTATTTTACTGAAACAGTACGGCTGGTAAGTTGAACCGAACAAGGCCGTTATTTGTATTGACAACTTTTTTTTTCTCAAACGTAGTGGAGTGAACCGAGATAAGGAGTAGATACTTAGGGTAAAAATTATCCAACTTAATTTAAATCTTCGACTCAAAATGTGTGCTTGTATGTACGGCCGATCATTCAACTATGTTAGCGCCTGCATCATTGTGCATCGTAGAAATGAAACATTTGCTGATTAAGGCTACCTTCTTCCCAAAAACATGCAATTATAGGTTTAGATTGAGTCAAACTTTTTTAATATTTAACTAAATTTATATAAAATATTATTAACATTTATGATTCCAAATAGGTATCCTATAAAAACATACTCTACGACTAATCTAATAATACTTAGAGCATGTCTAGTAGTAAAGAGTCAGTATGCCCTAGACCATGGATCACATCGTGGCGCCATGCTCCTTCTCTAGGCAGGTCTGGTGGAACATCCTGACGACTCTCACCCTACTCTCTTGGTGACAACAATGGAGGGCGCGCTGGACTGGCGACAAAAGGAGGGGAGCAGACTCTCTTTTCGCACTTGTAGCATGGGAGTTATGGAAGGAGAGAAACAGGAGATGCTTCCGTAGCGTCTCCAGTACAGTCCCGCAACTCCCTAGGCACATGAAACTCATCACCGACCAGCGGATCGATGTTGGCGCAACTAAGTTAGGTTGTCTATTTGCGTGTAGTCGCCATGTACGCAATCCGCTAGGCAGGGATGAGCTCATTGTATAACCTTTGCCCCGCCTAGCACGTCCGAGAGGCACGTCGATGTAAAGAACAGCTTTTCTCGATCTTAATACAATGACGCGCAAATCTTTTGCGTATTCGAGAAAAAGAAAGAGGCAGTATGCCCTATATTTAAGGTGTTATTTACTTATGTATTTCCTCTCCTATCAAAAGAGACAGAAAAGATATATCTCTTATGTATTAGGACACGAAAAAGCTTAGCTCTTATCTTCACACTAGCTCAAAGAGTATACGATATCTAATGTTGGCTTACAGCTAGCCATTCGATTACAGAAAGTCAAACTAGAAGCAGATGACGAATGAATAGATGCTCTGAAATAGAACGAGAAAAGGTAAATTTGATTAATGCTAATTCTATTAGTTTGGAACAATTAGAAAAGTCTAAAAACGAAACTCTTTATTTTGAAAAACAAAGGGCGATGAATCAAGTCCGACAATGGTTTTTTCAACAAGCTGTAAAAGGAGCTCTAGGAACTTTGAATAGTTATTTGAATACTAAGTTACATTTCCGTACGATTCGTGCTAATATTGGCATTCTTGGGGCCATAGAATGGGAGAGATAATTAAATTTATTAGGTTAGAAAAAGTGACCTCGTAAATATTAGTATTTTCTTATAAATTTAATCAAACTTAAAACTGTCTAACTGCTCGGAAAACAAGAATTTCATTAATTTAGGACGAAGTCAGAAATTCTAGTGTGGGATCAAAACAAGCAACGGAAAGAAAGAGTCCTGCTCGGCCGGTCGGTCGATCTGTTCGCTAAAAAGTCAGGCTGCTGTTTGTTGATTTATCGTGAGAGAAAAATACTGTATCAACGATGGCCGATAAATTTAAGCGAACAGGGCCACAACGAGGCAAGATTCGGAAGATAAGCCTCCACTAGTTGCAGCATGACGACAGTTCTCTGTTTAAATGGAGCGTGCGTGTCACTATCACAAATTTTTTTTCTTCCCTTCCAACTCCGAACCGCGTTGCGATTTCCACACTTCGCCCTGGGCTCCACGGCAACCATTGATCCAGCTTAGAAATTGCTTATTGCTCCGAGCCAGTTACGTGCGTTCCCTTTAAGTAGTCTTATGACCAAACACAAACTGAAAGTCTGAAACCTTCACCTCACAGGCAGTCTTTGGGGGAACATCGATATCTAACTGAATGGATCTTTTGTGACAGGCGGCGCACACTAGCATCAGACTGACGTTGAACACACGTTGCAACCACTGAACGGGATATCCCCACTGCCAATTCTTCTGGCCAGCTTTCTTTGGTTGGCACCTTGCTCTGTTCTACACTAGCAGTATCTGCTAGTACATGCGTGGTCTGGTGTGAGCGTGGCCACCAGAGAAGAAGAAAATGACCGCAAAGTTTTGTTGCCGTGCGAGCAGTCGTACCCGTTTCCACAGCTCGGGGTCGGGCTTCTTGAGCACGACGACGCGGTCCAGCAGCGCGGCGGGGTCCGGGATGCGCCACCGGCACGGCGCGGGCGGCACCCGGTGCCGCTCGTACTCGGGGCACGGGTGCCGCGCCACGGGCCGCGTGTTGAACGCGTACGCCGTGTAGTCGGCGCGGCGGTACCAGTTGAGGAACGTCCGAATCGGCGTCTCCATCTCCCGCGGCGACAGCACCCCGCGGAGCACCACCACCGCGAGCCCCCACGACACGGACACCGTCCACTCCTTGCCGGCGTCGTAGCACACCGACTGCTGCGCCGCGGCAGCCGGGTCCAGCGCTACGGGCCCCGCGAACAGCCGCCGCAGCGCCTGCGTCCGCGACCGCACCGTCGGGAACACCGGCTGCAGGAAGTCGAAGTGGTGCAGCGCCACCAGCGGCGCCACCGGGTGCGCGCCCAGGAGGCCCAGCACGTCGCCCCACAGGTCGCACTGGTGGAACCCGGGGTGGCGCGTCAGCGGCACCCCCAGCTCCGACATGCACGCGTGGATGCGGTCGTCGCTGCCGTACAGCGCGGGGTACCGCTCGATGCAGCCGTCCTGCATGCGCGCCAGCTGCGCCGCCAGCGCGGCGCTGATGCAGATGAATCAAGTCCGACAATGGGTTTTGAAAAACAAAGGGCGATGAATCAAGTCCGACAATGGGTTTTTCAACAAGCTATAAAAGGAGCTCTAGGAACTTTGAATAGTTATTTGAATACTGAGTTACATTATTCGTGCTAATATTGGCATTCTTGGGGCCATAGAATGGAAGAGATAATTAAATTTATTTGGTTAGAAAAAGTGTCCTCGTAAATATTAGTATTTTTTATAAATTTAATCAAACTTAAAACTGTCTAACTGCTCGGAAAACAAGAATTTCATTAATTTAGGACGAAGTAAGAAATTCTAGTGTGGGATCAAAACAAGCAACGAAAAGAAAGAGTCCCTGCTCGGCCGGTCGGTCGATCTATTCGTTGAAAAATACTCAATCGAACAGGGCCATAACGAGGCAAGATTCGAAAGATAAGCCTCCACTAATTGCAGCATGATGACAGTTCTTTGTTTAAGTGGAGCGTGCGTGTCACTATCACACATTTTTTTTTCTTCCCTTCCAACTCCGAACCGCGTTGCGATTTCCACACTTCGCCCTGGGCTCCACGGCAACCATTGATCCAGCTTAGAAATTGCTTATTGCTCCGAGCCAGTTACGTGCGTTCCCTTTAAGGGCTTATTCGGTTAGGGTGAAATCCATCCGGAATTGTTCCATTTGATAATATGCTATATAAATTAACAAAGCAATCTCGGTAGGAATAAATCCAGGTCATGAATCCCTAAGAAACGAACGGGCCCTAAGTAGTCTTATGACCTAACACAAACTGAAAGTCTGAAACCTTCACCTCACAGGCAGTCTTTGGGGGAACATCGATATCTAACTGAATGGATCTTTTGCGACAGTCGGCGAACACTAGCATCAGACTGACGTTGAACACACGTTGCAACCACTGAACGGGATTTTACCACTGCCAATTCTTCTGGCCAGCTTTCTTTGGTTGGCACCTTGCTCTGTTCTACACTAGCAGTATCTGCTAGTACATGCGTGGTCTGGTGTGAGCGTGACCACCAGAGAAGAAGAAAATGACCGCAAAGTTTTGTTGCCATGCGAGCAGTCGTACAGGCGCCTACATTATTATGTAGCTCAATCAATCAGACAGCCACTGGTCAATTTGCTTTGGCCGCATGCATATGCACAGCACGCTTACAACGAACATGGATTATCCGTGACCGTGATGCAGACCTGCAGAGTGTAGGGACATCAGAGAATTGGATCGCATTCGCAACCGCTTTAGGTTGCAGAGTTCAGAGCACATTCACCAGCAGCTCTGAATTTCTTGGCTGCTGTGAATCTGTGATAACGTGTTTTCCTATAATACTGTCAAACTAAGCAACGATAACAAAACGGTGATTAGTACACTCCAGTAGGTGACTCGGATTGTTTGCAGGAGCCGGTCCGCCGGCACCACCAGCAGCTCATCATCGGCCCTCGCCGCTGATGAGCTGGGAGAACACCTTGCTGTTGGCGACTCCCACGTCGGTGACGACCGTGTCGTCCGGATCGCCCGTCGTCAGGAAGCTCGTCGACGACGGCACCCAGCGCGGCACGACGACGTCCTCGGGGAACTGCGCGCCGACGGCGCCGCTGTCCTCGAACTCGTCCCGCCGCACGTGCGTCTCTTGCAGCTGCAGGCAGTACTCGAGGTTCCACAGCACGTCGGCCATGGACGGCCGCTCCTGCCCGTAGTCCGCCAGGCACCGCTCCGCCGTCTCCGCAAACTTGCGAAGCGAGTTCTCGTTCACCTCCCCGAGGATCCGCGGGTCGACGATCCAGTCCAGCTGCCCGTGCCTCTGCCACCCGATGGCCCACTCGGCGAGGTTTATCTGGTCGCGCTCCAGCGCCTGGTCGATCACCGGCCGCGCGCACAGCACCTCGAACAGCACCACCCCGAAGGAGTAGACGTCGGAGCGGTCCGTCAGCTGCTGCGTCTTGAAGTACTCCGAGTCTAGGTACCCGAAGCTGCCCTTCACAGCCGTGCTTACGTGTGTCTCCCCGAATGACGGGCCGATGCACGACAGCCCGAAGTCGGCCACCTTGGCGATGAACCCGTCGCCGAGGAGGATGTTGGTGGACTTGACGTCGCGGTGGATGATGTTCTCGGAGTAGCCCGTGTGCAGGTAGTGCAGCCCCCTGGCGGCGCCGATACACACCTCTAGCCGCTGCTTCCACGATAGCGGCGCTGCCCCGTCGGAGTCTGGCCCGTACAGGTGGCTCCGCAGCGTGCCTTTCTCCATGTACTCGTACACTAGGATCATCTCCGCCTGCTCGTTGCAGTAGCCGATGAGCGACACCAGGTGCCGGTGCCGGATGCGGGACAGCACCACGATCTCCGTCTGGAACTCCGGCAAGCCCTGCCTGGATGCGCGCGTCGCGCGCTTCACCGCCACGCGGGTGCCGTCGCGGAGCGCGCCGCGGTACACGTTGCCGAAGCCGCCCACGCCGATGAGGTTGCGCTCGTGGAAGTTGTCGGTGGCCGACCTCAGCTCCTCCAGCGGGATGTGGAGCTGCGTGCTCACCCTCTGCATCGCGCCGGTAGTGCCCTCGCCCGACCGGCTCGACGGCTCTAGCATCCACCCGGAGCTTTCCTGCGACCACGGCAGCGGCTTGCTGCTCTCCTTCTCCAACGGCGCCGGCCGCGCCATCCGCCTTTTTCTCCGCACGACGAAGAACAAGCAGAGCGCGGCGGCCGCGAGAACCGAGGCACCGAGCACGGTCGAGAGCGCGATGATCAAAACTCTCCAGTTGCTACCACGTGACCCCGCCGCCAAGCTCGAATCCGAAGGTCGCACCTTCATGATCTCCAGCCCGTTCAGGAAGCCTCCTTCGCCAGGGCTGCTCTTGGCGGACATGCCGATGCTGACGGTGAGGTTCCCGGAGATGGGTGCCGTGGCCGCGTAGTCCCTGTATAAGGCCGTGTTCGCCTGCGTCTCGAACTGTTTGGGAGCGAAGTCTTGGGTGCCAATGGCTTCCGCGACGAAGACGTTGAACACGATGCCGACTCCGTCGACGGAGCTCAGCAGCTCGTAGTCGCAAAAGTGGAGACGGACGAGGTAGTTCGACCCCAGTTCCGCCGAGAAGGTCCACGTGACGTTGAAACTCATAGGTACAGCCGCCGCCGACACGTTCGCCGCGGCGCGCTGCGTCCTGTAGACGACGTCGGGCGCCACCTCCCTGGTGTAGGTGGCGTCGTAGATGATCGGGGTGTTCGTCTTCTCCAGCGTGGAGCTCCCCGCGGGACTGAAGAGGAAGGGATCGTCGGGGAGCCACGTCCGCCAGAGCGTGTCGTTCTCCTCCGTCACCTCGGGGCCGCCCACGTTAAGGCGGTACACCGTCTCCAGCGCGTCCTTTCGCCACGCGGCTATGTCGCTGGCCGCCGCACCTGCGCCCACCGGCGTCACGCTGCCGTTCCACAGCAGCTCCGCTGGAGCGGGGAACAGCTCGACGGCGTTGACAAACGCAGCGGAGCCGGCGTCCGGCGTGAACGTGACGCGGAAGTCGCCAGAACTGCCTGCCGGGACGAAGAACTCCTTGACGACGCCGGCGCTCGTCGGCGAGAAAGAGGACAGCACGGTGTACGCGTCCTGGACAGAGACCGCGAAGCGCGCGGAGGAGAGGCTGACGGTGGACGGCGAGGCCGGGGAGAAAGGGAAGAAGTGGAGGCGGAGGACGAGGAACGCGGCCTGCCCGGCGGAGTCGGAGAAAGAAAATCTGTAGGAGAAGGCGGAGCTGGACGCGCGCGCGGCGGCGTAGAGCGGGGAGGCGGCGCTGTTGGGGCTGGCGTTCGTCACCGCCGGGACGCGTTTGGTGGTCAGGTAATCGTCGTCCGGGGTGAAGTTGCGCGCTGGGTTGTCGCGTGGGAAGGTGACGGTGGAGCCGGCGCCGCAGGCGAGGAAGAAGGAGAAGGCCGGGGAGAAGGCGGCCAGGGCGGTGGACGGGAGGAAGGTGGCGAGGAGGAGGAGGACGAGGACAGCCATTGTGAGTGATGGTAGTGGAGGCGTGCCGGCTGAGGGGGTGGCAGGCGACGGAGGGGATAAGCGAGTGCGGCGAGGACGACGGAGTGGTGAGTGGTCAGTGGTGTGTGGAGTCGGGCACGGGGAAGGTGGACTTGGATGGCGGGAGGACACGGGGATGGTGGACAGGAGCCCTGGACTGGAGTGGACGGAGACTAGGGTCATTCCAAATTCCTTTGTGCGTCCACTGGTCACCCATGTGCTCCATTCGGTTGGAAAGGCGGCTTTGCTTTAGTTTTGTTCTCTTCTTTGGGAAGGAGGAAGAAGGTAGGCTCCTACGGTATAAAATTTTCAAACCTCAATCAATGAATCTATACACACTAACCATCTTCTAGTTTTTTTTATTCAGTAGTTTTTTTAGTGAGGAGTTTTATGTTTCATGTGACAACAATCGTACAATTATCTTAAAAAATAACACATAAAATACAATTCATACTTTTTTAGTCAAACAACAATGAAATAAAATATTTACTGAGCAACAATAGAAAGTCAAGCACCTAAAATATTTAAAAGTGATAGTATACCTTTAGTTTAACATAAGTACAAATCTGATGAACGCATATGATTATAAAAGTGTTACTCAAGAAAATTACATCTCTGTTTTTGTAATTCCTAATTCAATATCCTAAGAGCTACTTCAACATCTCAAATTATAAATCATTCCAACTTTCTTGAAGAGTTAAAGCATCTCAAGTTTAATCAACTTTTATAATAAAATAATAACATCTATTTATACAATACAACAGAATCAAAAGGAGGCCTCACGTTCGTCGAGAGAGTCTAGAAATTACAAGACTAATCAGAAAAAAGAGAAGAATATCCACCAAGAATAAATAGAGTATCGGAAAAACAAAAGAATATGTACCATTGGATTTTATGATGATCTAATGACAGAGAATAAATAGAGCACTATGAAAAATAAAATAATATATGCACCTTTTGATTTTATGATGATCTAACAACCGAGAATAAATGGAACAATATGTTCAAAGATAAAAGAATAAATGGAATATCCATTTCAAATACAATGCCTATAAATTGTGAGATTAATTTGAAAAAAAAACATACAACGTTGGATTTCATGATGAGTCACGATCGAGAGTAAATAGAATATCCAAGATACAAGGTATATAAATTATGATGTTTTTTGAATAGCGCCATTATAATTTTGCAAAGTTGGAGATACCATTGGTATTTCACTGACACGTGGGGCTCACACGAGTCAATGACATGTGGGACATGATGGCATATCTTCAATTTAGCAAAATTATAATGACGGTCTTCAAATTTTGATAGGATAATCTAACAGCCGAGAATAAAGAGTATCCAAATACAAGGTCCAGAAATTATGAAGTTACAACCTGTTTGTTTGGTCATGTTTGTCTTATAAGCCATGGCTGAAAGTACTGTTGGCTGATTTGGTGTGAGAGAAAAATACTGTTTACTGACTGAAAACAAACCAAAACAAGCCAAACAGGCCCAAACGAACAGTGCGTTAATAAAAAAAACAAAGGAATGTACACCATTGGAATTTACGATGATCTAACAGATGAGAATAAAAAAGGCATGTCAAATACAAAGCCTAAAGTTACGAGATTAATCAGGAAGAAGAAAAAATAACACTGTTGCGCTTTACGATGATCTAACTGTCGAGAAAAAAATACCACTCAATTAAATTCATATCCATTATACCAAGAGAAACTATTGCAAACCAGTCTAGATATAAATGAAGACAATACACATGCAAATTAAAGCTTTTGTAGATGGCAACGCAATTGCATTTTGCATATTAATTAATAGGGGAAAACGGTCAGAAAACCTCTGAACAGTTTTCTGCTTCTACATTTTTATAAATACAAAAACGAAAGCGAAAACAGTAAAGCCGGGCACAAAAATGGACACGAACTTATGAAATATCGAGAATTTTGAAAAACGAACTAATTCGAGTGGAATTATGTCGAAAACGGTCGGTATACGAATAATCAATACGAAATATTAACTCGAAGGACCAAGTGCATGACCAAAGTGAATAACAATTAACAAGTCCTATATCTTTCATAAAAAGTATCTCCATTCGACACCATATAAAAAGATATGATTTTTCTAGACAGAATAGTCGTTTTGGTCCCTGAACTATTACTCGAGGCTCAATTTCATCCCTAAACTTTCAAAACGACCGTTTTAGTCCTCAAATTCTACTTTGAGGCTCAATTTCATCCCAGAACTATGAAGACGATCATTTCAGTTCTCAAATTTTGCATTGTGGGCTCAATTTCATCCATAAACTACCAAAGTGCATTTTATCTTTAAACTTTTATTTTTAGCTCAATTTTGTCTATCCAAAAAGAAAACTCTATGTTTTATGCATAATTTCATCCATGAATGATCAAAATGCATTTTTGCACTTCATCCTTTCTCTAGCAGAACCCACGACAGTCATCGTTAGGTACTTTCAACATTTGTATTTATGTTCTAAGATGAATATAAATATAAATCTAAATATTTTTAAATATGAATTCTTTTTATCCCATGGATAAAAATAATTATTCTATACACATGGTTATTAGTTAAGCCTAACGCTAGAAGTAGCTAAGAAAAAAATTATAGATCTGCTATTTAATATATCCATGTATTGTTAAGGAATAGCTTTTGAAGCAACTGTAATTGTTCCAACAAAAATCATTTATAGTCGGATATATATAAATGGTACCATTATAAGGTAACATTAAATATAACAGCTTGAAATTATTAATGGCCAGTAAAGAGTTTTTGGATTCATATTATTATTTTTCTATCTCCAATAGCTCCAAAAATATAAAGTTTGAGGATTGAAATGATCATCTTCATAGTTTTAGGATGAAAATGAGCCTAAAATGCAAAGTTTAAGGACTCAAATGATCATCTTTATAGTTATACGATGAAACTAAGCCTAACAGTAGAGTTTGAGGACTAAAATAGTCATTTTGAAAGTTCAGGGATGGAATCGAGCCTCGAAGAATAATTTAGGGACCAAAATGACTATTCTGCCATTTTTCTAAGGCAACAAACGTTTGTATGCGATTAATATACTGCTGAAACTTTATTTAATTTTTTTGAACATATTATAAACCTCAAATGAAAAAAATAAAAACTAGAAAATTAAAAATCTTACCAAGAGCTATAATTTTCATATAAAAACCATCTTCATATGAGATCGTATGAAGAAGATACAATTCCGTATTTCGAACCGAATTCGAATTTTAATTTTCCGATCGTATCAAACGTAGAAAAGGATACGGTTCGGTATGAAATATTTCGTATCGTTTTCATCCCTATTAATTATATGATGCCAAAAGGAACAAATTCTGGCGATATTGGCTCTGAGGAAAAAAAAACAGATAGCAAGTATAATAAAGATTTTTTTAGGTTTTCATATACTCTTTAATAATATTGTCGAAGGTGTCAGACGAGCATCGAGCGCGACGAACAGGATTTCAGCCTCATCTTTAGACAATATATGGTGATGAACAACAAAAATTGGACCTTTATTGGTACACCAAAGAGGTTTTTTTTTTTGAAAAACTAGAATTTTAGGGGGCACGTGCCCTTGCTCCTTGTACCGGGTCGCCCCACCGTCACCAGGGAACACCATGAAGAAGATGAGCACCCTAAACGACTGGCAAGGACATCGACGGGACATTCCACACATCCATGAACCTTGTCGTGGCCTCCAGCGCGTTCGCCGCTGCGTCCTCGTTCCCGACCACGGCACTGGACCAAGTCAGGAACTAGTAAAAGGTTCTAATGACCAGAGTGGGTGAATAGCGTATAAATTTTTTTCAACAACACTTAACAAACCGGTTAGATAAATATGAGGCGAAACGAATGTTGCGCTAGCCTACTAAAAATGCAAGCTACCTGCCACAATTCTAATATCTATAGTCTCTATCCACACAATGGCTATGTCACTACACTAATTTAGTGAGCTCTCAAAGACTAACTAAAGAGCCTCACTAACCATTAGACTCGACACAAGCTTGCTCTCAAGACTAACTACAGTTTAGAGCGAAGCAACACAAGAAATATAAATACAAGGTAGGAGATACAAAGTTTATACCATCGTGTCGAGGATAGAGCCAATCACAAGATGATCGCAATCAATCACAATGAATACTAAGAAATCCCCAGCAAGGTGACACAAGATTTTTTTTACCGAGGTTCACTTGCTTGCCGACAAGCTATTTCTCGTCGTGGCGATTCACTCACTTGGAGGTTCACGCGCTAATTGGCATCACACGCTAAACCTGCAACCAGGTGCTGCACAACAACACAAGATGAGGATCACACAAGGCACGAGCAATCCACTAAACTACCTTTTGACTCTCCGCCGGGGAAAGGTAAAGAACACCTCACAATCACCATGATCAGAGCCAGAGACAAACACAACCTCCGCTCGATGATCATCGCTGCTCCAAGCCATCTAGATGGCAGCAACCACCAAGAGTAACAAGCGAACCCTGCAGCGAAACACGAACACCAAGTGCCTCTAGATTGAATCACTCAAGCAATGCACTTGGATTCACTCCCAATCTCACAAAAATAATGAATCAATGATGGAGATGAGTGGGAGAGCTTTGGCTAAGCTCACAGGGTTGCTATGTCAATGCAAATGGCCAAGAGGATGAGCTTGAGCCGACCATGGGGCTTAAATAGAGAGCCCCCACGAATCGAGCCGTTGGGCTCCTCACTGAGCACTCTACGCGTCGACCGGACGCGCCTCTTCATAACAACTGGACGCAGCACGATAGAGTCTGGTCACCGCGATGCTACCACGTGTCGTCTTTGTTCAACGTCGCTCGTTCGATTTCAATGGCTAGTCTCGCCCACGCGAGGTTAAGTTGTGATCGGACGCGCCGATCAACGATCAGGCGCGCCCGACGCCGTGTCCATTCACCTGCTTGCCTGCGCGCCCAACTCTGCAACCTGACGCACCGAGGGAATGACCGGACGCGCCACCAACGTGGCGTCCGATCACTTCCATAAACCTCCCCGAGCACCCTTTTCTCGACGTGACACGTCCGAGAGTGCATGACCGAACTCAGGGCCGAGTCCGGTCCTCATAGCCACAACGCGCCAATAGTTTCAACGCCATGTCACCATATGTTAGCAACAACCGGACCCAAAGCCTGTGCGTCTGGTCACCATTATGTGCCAGAGTCCGGTCACTAAGCCGAAGCCGAGCCACTGCTCCACTACTAGCCGGACGCGTAGGTCCTGCGTCCAGTCAGCTCAGTGACCTCCTCGACTTCACCAACTTCTCCACCCTTGCTCAAATGCCAACCACCAAATGTATCACCTTATACACATGTGCTAGCATATTTTCACAAACATTTTCAGGGTTGTTAGCACTCCACTAGATCTAAATGCATATGCAATGAGTTAGAGCATCTAGTGGCACTTTGATAACTGCATTTCGATACGAGTTTCACCCCTCTTAATACTACGTCTATCGATCCTAAATGTGATCACACTCGCTAAGTGTCTCGATCACCAAACCAAAAAGCTCCTATCAAGTTTTACCTTTGCCTTGAGCTTTTTATTTTTCTCTTTCTTCTTTTCCAAGTCTAAGCACTTTATCATCACCATGGTCACATCATCATCATGATCTTCACCGTTGCTCCACCACTTGAAATAGTGCTACCTATCTTATGATCTCTGAGATAAACTAGGTTAGCACTTAGGGTTTCATCAATTCATCAAAACCAAACTAAAGCTTTCAACTAGCCGTCGAGCTTGCTCAACTTCTTCTTCTCGGTCTTTAGTGGCGGCGGGGCGGCACTGTCACCAGCGGTGGCACCATTGTTGCCGGTGGTGTCACAGCTCCTTGTAAGCCTCTGGCGGGGGTGGTTCCGACGGGGCCATGCCACAGTAGCCAGCAGGGTAAGGCAGAGGTTGCTGGCGAAGGCCCTCATCCTGAACTGGCACACTTCACGGTTGGACTTGGACAAGTGGTCGGCATCAAGGGAGCCGGGGCATGTGCCTACACTCAAATTCTGGGTTTCAAAGAAAATATACCTTCTTTGGTGTAGCTATAAAGGTATGAGTAACAGCACTACTCAATTTTATGCTAGTTTATGATATCAAATAAGTATCATTAGCTTCTTCATTAATTATATTCTCATAGTATACCTATTTGATGTTATAAATTTTTGTATTTGTAATTCTCTCAATAATTTTGGTCAAACTTGATATGATATTACATGCGATTGCATCAGACCTTAAAAATTGATACGATATTATAAGAGAGAAACTAATGAATAAAATAAACCTTATATTATTTTTTTCTGATCAAAACACGCTTATTAGCAGGCCGTGGACATCCCATAGTGCATACATAATTTACGGTCGAGATAGGCCCAGTCCAACCCAACTTCGTAGCATAGGACTAACACAGCACCTCTTAATGGCCCAAAATCTACCTGGGTCTAATTAAATCCGTCCCGGGCCGGTTGGCACGCACGTTGTGCTTAGCCGGGGAGATTTCAGCGGGATCATGTTTTGATGACCTTCGAATTGCAAACAGTGCCATAGCCGACCCACGCCTTTCAAACAAAAGAGTGCCTCATCTCATCTGCGCAGGATGCCATTAGTTTCAGTGTTTCACATCACCAAAGCACTCGCCCCGTTTCATCATCTTTATACTCCTCTACAGTTGACATCTACACTCCATCAGTACAGTGACAGCACGTTGCTGGCCCAACCGATGAGTTCCTCTAAGCCCCACCTGCAACGGGTTGCTGCCTTGTTGCTGAGTCCTTTCTTCTCCAACCAGCCCGATCTCTGAAAACATGTGCTCCATGATCCGTGGATCTGAAACAGCCATTTTCTCGATCGTTCCCCATTCCGCCGTACACTCTAGCTCCTACTTCCCCTGCGCAAACTGCAGACGGGGCGAGCGGATGTATGACTTCAAGGAGAATTTTTGTTTGCCATTGTCAGTCAAAAAGAAGAGACCGAGTCTCTGCAGACGCCGACGTCGATGGTCATCCTCCGGTCCTTCCCCACCGTCGGCGACGACACCACCCTGCAGCAATTCCTCCTCGGGGCCTGCACGCAAGGTTCATAGCTAGTCTAGTCACATCAAGATGCCACATTGCCACGTCTGTCTGCCGTACGATCGATAAGGACCAGAACTGAGATATGCACGACGCGCGTACGTACCCGTTTCCAGAGCTCGGGGTCGGGCTTCTTGAGCACGACGACGCGGTCCAGCAGCGCGGCGGGGTCCGGGATGCGCCACCGGCACGGCGCGGGCGGCACCCGGTGCCGCTCGTACTCGGTCACCGTGGTGGTGTTGCGGTTGCGCCAGCGGCGTTCCAGCCGCGCCTGCCGCATGTAGTACACCTGCGGCCTCTGTCACGGGTGCCGCGCCACAGGCCGCGTGTTGAACGCGTACGCCGTGTAATCGGCGCGGCGGTACCAGTTGAGGAACGTCCGCATCGGCGCCTCCATCTCCCGCGGCGACAGCACCCCGCGGATCACCACCACCGCGAACCCCCACGACACGGACACCGTCCACTCCTTGCCGGCGTCGTAGCACACCGACTGCTGCGCCACGGCCGCCGGGTCCAGCGCCACGGGCCCCGCGAACAGCCGCCGCAGCGCCTGCGTGCGCGACCGCACCGTCGGGAACACCGGCTGCAGGAAGTCGAAGTGGTGCAGCGACACCAGCGGCGCCACCGGGTGCGCGCCCAGGAGGCCCAGCACGTCGCCCCACAGGTCGCACTGGTGGAACCCGGGGTGGCGCGTCAGCGGCACCCCCAGCTCCGACATGCACGCGTGGATGCGGTCGTCGCTGCCGTACAGCGCGGGGTACCGCTCGATGCAGCCGTCCTGCATGCGCGCCAGCTGCGCCGCCAGCGCGGCGCTGATGGTGAACCCGCCGCCGCCGAACGCCATGCCGTACGAGAAGATGAGGTTCTGGATGTGGCTCTCCGACGGGTTCCCGATGTAGTACGGCTGCGTGTGGTCGTACTGGGACAGCACGTCCGCCAGGTTGTCCGGGAAGAACACCGTGTCGTCGTCGCCCATCACGAACCACCGCACGCCCGGGAGGCCCAGCCGGAAGCTCTCCGAGACGATGCGCGTGATCCGCAGCGCCTACGTCTGCCGGCGCCGTGCGTGTAGGGGAACCTGGACGTGTTGGCGCTGATCTTGATGCCAGGGAGACCCGAGGAGGCGTTCCTGGAGTATAGCTCCGGCACAGGCTTGTCCAGCCACACGAAGCCGCGCATCTTGCCCGGCCGCCACCACACCCTGATGTACTCCCTCCGGCTCTTCCAGAGCGACGACGACGCGCCGATGCCGAACACGATGTGGCGCAGCCCGGTGGGTGCGGCATCGTCGTCCGCGGAATGCTTCGGCTTCGGCCGCGCCTTGGGCGGCGGAAGCCGCGTCACGGAGGTAGACGATGCGCTGCCATTATTATGCCACTTGCCATCCGCCGCGGCCGCGAGACGAGCGACGGCACCGGTGCCGCCGTCCTGCGGGCACGGGCGGGAGTAGAACGGGGACACGGCGAGCGCGACCACGTAGAGCACCATCACGGGCAGGAGTACGTAGAGGAGGAGGATGTAGAGGAAGGAGGAGGTCTTGGACTTGGGTACCTGCTTGCTGGCGGCGGCGTGCATGACAATGGCGCCTCCTCCTTTCATGCCAGATCAGGGACGCCTGCGATGAGCCGATGATGGTGCATGGCCAGGATCGAGAAGTGGCAAAAACGAGCAGCGATCGCCGCCAATGATGGCATGGGTTTAATATAGCAGCTCCCGGCGAAGTCCACGTGTTCGTGGGCAAACTCTGAGGAGGGGAGGACAGATGTTGCGCGGCGACGGCAGTATATATATGTGACTATGTGAGTGTAGATCCCCAATTGGGTTACCATAACCTGAATTTGTTGGACTATAAATAGCCTGGTCAATGGGCAAATTGTCTTTGTAGGATCGATCTCCTAAATGACCTGTTTCGGCCTGTGAGCTTTCAGTCAGCCTCGCTATCAGGTTCATGGTGTATATATATCAATCCATCTTTGGCTGTACTGAACTTTACTGATTGTCGCCCAAGTCTGTCTGATTACGATAGATATATCAATCCATATCGAAGTAAGATGTTTATCGACATGCTGGCATAATTCATGAGCAAACGATTGCATAGTCGATTACAATAGATAAACTTAAACCCTTGATAGCATCTATCTCACTGGCAAACGATTTAACAGAGTACGATGATACCTCACTACGGGAATTAGGAGATTTGCCGAGTGCCCCTGGCACTCGGCAAAGCCTAAAAAACACTCGGCAAACGACACTCGGTGAATTTTTATCGGCAAACAGACTTTGCCGAGTGTTTTTTGTCGGACACTCGGCAAAGATTTCGCCGAGTGCTCAAAATACACTTGGCAAACATTTTTTTCGAAAAATAAAAAAAAGCCACCACCGGCCGGTCTCCGCCGGCCGCCGTCGGTCTCCTCGGCGGCGCCCTTCCCCTGCGTCTCGCCTCCGCTCCCCGGCTTCACGGCCGCCGCCACGAGAAACCACCGGCCACCACCACCACCACCACGCCGCCACGCCGGGGAAGAGAGGGAGAGGAGGGCGCGGCCGCCGGATCCGATGAAGAGAGGGAGAGGAGGGGGCGGCCAGGCCGGATCCGCCGGCGGGGAAGAGAGAGGAGGGAGAGGAGGGGGAGGGGCGCCGGTGGTGGGAAGAGAAGGAGAGGAGGGGGCGGCCGCGCCGGCACCGGAGAGGGAGGAGGGGAGGGCGGGGCCGCGCCGGGGCTGAGAGGGAGGAGGGGGCGGCGCGTGCCCGTAAGCGGAGAAGGGGAGGGGGCGTGCAGACGCGGTGCGGGGAGAAGAGGAGCGTGCGGGGAGACCTAGGGCGCATCCGCTGGGGTTAAAAAAAGATTTTTTTTTCGTTTGCCGAGTGTCCCAGATCTGGGCACTCGGCAAAGATTTTTTTTTCATTTTTTTCTTCTCTTTCTTTCCCAGAAAAAAATATTTTTTACTTTACAAAGATTTTTTTTCATTTTTTTCTTCTCTTTCTTTCCCAGAAAAAATATTTTTTAATTTGCCGAGTGTCCTAGATTTGGGCACTCGGCAAAGATTTTTTTTTCATTTTTTTCTTCTCTTTCTTTCCTAGAAAAAATATTTTTTTACTTTGGAGTGTCCTAGATCTGGGCACTCGGCACAATTTTTTTTCATTTTTTTCTTCTCTTTCTTTCCCAGAAAAAATATTTTTTCCTTTGCCGAGTGTAAAAAAAACACTCGGCAAACCCCATCTTTGCCGAGTGTTTTTTTTTGACACTCGGCAAACCACCTCTTTACCGAGTGTTTTTTTTGCCGAGTGTTTTTATGGCAGCACTCGCCAAAGAACTTGTTTGCCAAGTGCCCGAAAAAATACACTCGGCAAACACAAAAACACTCGACAAATTTGACGTTTCCGTTAGTGCCTGTTGTAGGTGTCACCCAACCGGGCTAATATATCTACAATTACCACATTTGTTGGGGAGTGTGTAGAGAGTGTTCCACAAGATATAATTCAACTGCAACTTCACAATAAGTAGATCAAGAGAGGGAAGTGAAGTATGAAGTGGCAAACATGCAAGAACACAGTTTATCCCGAGCTCCAGCCACACCACAAAGGTCTTGAATCTCTTTCAACGCCCTCTTGTCAAGCGACCAAAAAGATCAAGCCCGATGATTCCATTAGAAAGAATTGGGTAATACAAATTTCTCAAAGTAATCCACAACCAATAGGGTTTCAAACAGGTGACGCCTATTCGTCTAGGATTCAACAAACCCAAGGGTAACAAATCAAAATTGAAGATCGAGATGATGCTCACAAGGTCAACCACTCACCGCAACTCAATCCCCCTCAAAGACGTCAACAAATCCAAATCAAAATAAGCAAGAGAGAGAGAGAGGGGAGCACTAGTGTATTTGTCTCGAGTTAGGTCTAAGTGACCGAATTATGTGAGAATGTGTGTGTGGGGTGATGAGGACATCACTCCTATGGATACACACAACACTCTTCAAGTTGCTACGCGAGGAGCAATTACTAGAGCACAACATGGCAAATAAATCTACAGTTGACCTCGTTCCTATGCACTTTATTTTATGATTGTGTGAATAGGTTGCTACCAAATGATATTCAGCCTGTTCGGCTGATTCAATAGTGTTCTGTGAGAGAGAATAAGCTGAAATAAGCTGAAATAAGCTGAAATTATTATTAGGAAATATTTAGAAGATAAGGAAGTACTTGGGAAAAGGCATGGAGGCGGAAAAGGCCTCATGTTTCAGCTAACTGTTATTGTGTAAAACAGGCAAGTCCTGGAAATTTGAGCAAAGACCGGAATTTTTTATCCCTAGGAAAGTAACGGTGTATGCACAGTTTGAACTCGAAAGGGTATCAGGTCCCTGAAATTTTGATCCCTTGATTGGGAATTCCAATGTGGAATTAAATCAAACCCAGGAAACCTTGATTGGAATTCCCAGTACACAAGCGAAATATATGACCCCTCAATAGTTGCGTCACGTTTGAGAAGTATCCACACTACTGGAAAATTAAAACTGATTTAAACTAAAACTGATTGTTTTATAGATCCTATTTTTCTTGTTGGCTCATGTGTTGTTTTGATGGTGGGCACAAATTTCCATGTCGGGTTACTACGACAAGGGTGGAAAACTGAATTTGATGTCATCGAATTTTCCTGTCGATGTCAACGAAATTTCTTGCGATATGATATGATGGACATTGTAGCGACAAGGAAATTGCTTCACTGACAAGAAAATTCATCCACTGACAGAGAAATTTTATTTTTCTATCACTTTTGTTCTGTTGATGTACCGACAGAGAAATGCATTTTCTAATTTTTCTGTCAATTTTTTGTATTTCCCTGCTAGTTTCACACACCGACAGGGAAATTCTGGTCTCCATTAGTGCCAGAATTTTTTTTTATAATGTCTATGTTTTGGTTAGATACCTTTGAAGACTTAGACACTTGCAGTTGACTTGATCCCAACCCCTCTTAATAGTATGACTTGCCTAATACTCAAGAAAAGTTCAAACGAATTTACAGAAGACTAAAGCTTCCATAACCATGTCCTCTGCCCATAAACTTTATCATGTACTCCTTCCATCCAAAAAAAACTTTATGTTTTCTTACTTTTAGTAAAAGGACCAAGTATGTCGCCTAGAGGGTGGGAGTAAATAGGCATAGTCTTAAAGTTTAAAACTTAAAATGCGGAAGGCGTTAGGATAGGGATATCCAATTTCTTGAAATCTCAAATAAAAAAATATAATAAACCCCTCTAAAAGGAATAGACTAAGTACACAAGAGTTACTAAACAAGACTAAGAGACAAACACTGTGGGGGTGTGGGTGGTTGGAGGGTAAAACCGGACCGAATTGGGTTCGATTCAAATTTTGAGGCAAGTGACGCGGGGGGGGCGGGGTAGGTATGGGTACAGTTAACTAGCACTTATCTTAAAAAAGGTGTTTTACCCCTACTTCACGTACGAGGACGAATCTTGAATATGTAAAGCACGATGCTAGTGACGAAGGTGTTCCTGAGATAACAGCATTTGCGATATGATATGATGGACATCTTTTGTTCTTCTTCCTGTTGTGACGCTACAACTTTCAGATACGATAGTGACATCCTACCTGACCAAATCCTGGAAGCTTTACACAAATCCGTCATTGTGGCCTCAACAAAAATAATTAAAATTTTGCTTAAGTATGCCTAATGATTGCTGGTTGCTGTGTTTGGGCAGTGCAAGCAACCCGACGATTAACTACGATTGCGATCGACATCTTTTATGTATTTTACATACCTGCCGATCTTTCTTTCTTTTTTTATTATTTCTGTAGAAAAACTCGTTGATATTTACTCACTTGTGTTAACTATATATATTTGATTCTTCACGCTGCTGCATATGTTAATTCAAATGGCAACTTCATCCAACCATAGATATAAATAAGTCATCTACATTTGTACAAAGTTTAACATTTTTTAACATTGGTTGACTAGCATACGTCATCTAACAAAAACATATTACCTTAAATGAAGAGAGTAAATTATGCTTTATGAAAGTTTTTTATACTGAAATCAGATTATACTAATTAATCTTGCATGGTTAACCTATATAAAATTTATTAATTTATGGTCAAAGTTAAAAAAGTAACTTATTAGAATTTAGGATAAACCAATGAACTTATATTAACACAGTTGGGGAAAGTATTTATTACTGATTTTTTCACGCCTACATCCATGTATTAATGACTCATTTATGCTTTGACAGTAGTGCCATAAGTTTATTTGCTGCTAGGATTCAATCCTGGCGCATATTGCATGCATGTTCGCAAGCTGCAGTACGGTGACTCTTCTCTCCTTCACTGCCAGGCATGCCTTAGGTAAACTACTATCATGTTTGGATTAACTAAACTAAGTTGACAGTTGTTAAAAAAAAACTCTAGCTGATCTAAACAGTCTAGCTTATACTCCAACATATAAAAAGCGATATAAAAAACTATAAAAAGCTACAGTA